CCAGCAGGAGGAGGTGGTGGAAGAGGAGCAGTTGGTATTTTTGACCTTGACTTATCCTGCTTGCACTTTTTAGTATCAGAGCTAGATGAATCATCGTCAGATGAGACTAGATTCATAAATCGCTTTCTTCTCATGCCTCTGCCCATCTGACAGCCTTAATCACTTTCATAGGCAGATGCAAACTCTTCAAAGCCCCTTGCGGCATTTCTGACAGCAATATACGTTTCTGCGATAAATATAAGATAAAGTTGTTAGGAGTGCATAAGTTTCACTCACTCACTCACTCACTCACTCACTCACTCACTCACTCACTCCCTCACTCCCTCACTCCCTCACTCCCTCACTCCCTCACTCCCTCACTCCCTCACTCCCTCACTCCCTCACTCCCTCACTCCCTCACTCCCTCACTCCCTCACTCCCTCACTCCCTCACTCCCTCACTCCCTCACTCCCTCACTCCCTCACTCCCTCACTCCCTCACTCCCTCACTCCCTCACTCCCTCACTCCCTCACTCCCTCACTCCCTCACTCCCTCCTCCCTCCCTCCCTCACTCACTCACTCACTCACTCACTCACTCCCTCACTCACTCACTCCCTCACTCACTCCCTCACTCACTCCCTCACTCACTCACTCACTCACTCACTCACTCTCTTTTATTGCTGCAAAATAATATCATAATTTATAGTAAATAAGGTAAAATTTCTAATATATACATAGAACAAATTTAGAACATATTAAAATCTTATGGAATAAGGTAAGAAATAAAAATTTACTTCTTTTATTTTCTAAAAAAATATAGTGATATCAGAAAGTTACATCAAATAAATGTAAATAAACAATTATAAATATTTAATTAATTTATTGTGCTTCGATATTATTCAAGATGTCATATCCAATAAAGAAAAAAATTATTTTGCTTTTCTAAACGTAATATTTCTGTGTATTTATTTATCAATGGATATCAAGCGACGCGGTAGCGTCGCGACGCCAAGTATATATAAAAATTCGTTTCAGCTTGTCAACGGTTTGCCTATGTACAGGGGCTGCGACGCTACCAAGTAGCTTATCCGGAGTTTCACGTCTAATAAACTTTCGATTAAAATTCCTCAGGAACCAAGCCGTTAATCAAAAATCTAACGGCACTTTTCTTATACAATGTGGATGCAAGCTTTCGATTGCGACCAGTTTGAATAAGATTGGTGCAGTCAATCCTGAGGAATGATAATCGTATACCAGAAATGTGACATTTTTCGTTCTTCATTAAAAGATATCTGAAACTCGATCTCTATAATAATTAATAATTAACGATTCACAAGCGATTGCTATTTGTCGAAGCAGATATTAACTTCGTGTGATTTATTATTATATATATATATATATATCTTGTTATATACGATCACGAAAATTATTAGAAGATATCTGAAACTCGATCTCTATAACAATTAAAAATTAACGATTCATAAGCAATTACTATTTGTCAAAGCAGATATTAATTTCGTGTGATTTATTGTTTTACTAATATAAAGTAAGAATAATTACAAATAGTAATGAAATCCCACTAAAAAAACCTCATAAAGGTAAAAAAAATACGCCAAGTATATATCTAAAAAATAATTTTTTAAAATATTTTTCCTAAATAATAAGAAATAAAAACTAAATATGAAATCAATAGTTAACTAGCCAAGTACTTAGAAGCAATTCAGTTTGTGAGAATTTGTAATTTGAAATAGTATTTGTCATAAAATCAAATTTATTTATAAAATTTGTATTTATAGAAATGTTATACACAAATCCTCTCCATAAAATTAAAACGCATTATATTTTTATTAAGAGAAACCTGAGTTTCAAAATAAGTTCAATAGAAATAAGAAAATATAAAAAAATTTTAATTTAAAAAACGGCGCTGCTAAACTAAACATGCTAAAATTAGTGTATTCTTGTGATATAACTAAATTAAATATCAAATATAATAGAAAAGAGCATTTAGAGCCAAGCGCGGTAAGAATTTGTAATTTGAAATAGTATTTGTCATAAAATCAAATTTGTATTTATAGAAATGTTATACACAAATTCTCTGCATAAAATTAAAACGCATTATATTTTTATTAAGAGAAACCTGAGTTTCAAAATAAGTCCAATAGAAATAAGAAAATATAAAAAAATTTTAATTAAAAAAACTTGGCGTTGCTAACTTTTAAAGTATATATTGTTACGTCCTGGCGACTTCACGATTCCTTCCGTCAGCGAAGTTGCGGCAATGACAATCAATCGGTGATAGAAATGAGTCGTTCGGTAAATAGAGCATCTTGCGTCACACATTCCTTAAACATTTAGTCACTTGTCAATATCTATATCTACGAGTAACCGTGAGAAAGCCGCGAGAGACCGGTGACGAAACCGCGCCGGTCGCCTAAAAATAAATAAAAACCAGTAGATACCCTCGCAGTAGAATTTTCCAGCGGAATAAAAAACTGATACCGAAAAGATAATAAAATTCTCACGAAATATCTGACGAATACAACTAAATCATTAATGACGAAACTTTTGTGACATCACATTCAGTAACGACAGAAAGTAAGACTTTTTCTAATCAGATTACGTGAGTAAGGGAAACCTAGAGCTCAAGGGATTCTGAACTGATCACCAATCGACGATCACCACGAGTGAAGTCCTTTAATCAAATATATTTTAGATTGTATTAACCAGTCAGAATCTAAATTTAACAATAAAATCATTCCATTGCATTTCTGACTGATGTCCTCCGTATTGATGTAACACCCGCGAAGAAACGGTAATTGAAAAAGATTTCGAAAAAAAGTTTAGCGGCTGAGTCTCATTTTGTCGATTCCTGCGATAAGACTATTATGCCTGAATTTAATAAATACGAAAAAAAGAAAGACCCGAGCGGTACCGGCGGCAACATGACTCAAAATAATCCTTTCGCTACTTTGAAATACGCGGTCGAAGCCGTCCCTTATTTTGACGGTCAAAATATTCCATTAAATTATTTTATCGAGGGATGTGAACTTTTGGACATTACGAATTCGACCGAATGCCGTTCGGTCTAAAAAATGCTCCGGCTACTTTCCAGCGCCTAATGGACTTAGTGTTAACTGGGTTACAAGGCAAAGAATTATTCGTTTATATGGACGATATTGTTATTTATGCAACGTCTTTAGAAGAACACGAAAGAAAATACAACGCTTTAATGGAACGTCTTCGAGAAGCTAATTTAAAACTACAACCAGACAAATGTGAGTTTTTAAATAGAGAGGTAACTTATCTGGGACATGTAATCAGTAAAGACGGAGTAAAACCAGATCCGAAAAAATTAGAAGCGGTACAACGATTTCCAAGACCTAAAACACCTAAGAATATTAAACAATTTTTAGGACTTGCAGGATATTACAGACGCTTTATACCGAATTTTTCAAAATTCGCCAAACCATTAACAAATTTATTAAAAAACGACACCCGCTTCGAGTGGACATCTGTGCAAGAAGAATCCTTTGAAATTTTAAAACAAAAATAGTGCGAAGAGCCAGTACTGCAATACCCAGATTTTTCCAAATCATTCATTTTAACGACCGATGCATCTGGAATAGCCCTAGGAGGAATATTATCACAAGGAGAGATAAATAAAGACCTACCGATAGCATACGCCTCACGAACCTTAACAGATAATGAATTAAAATACGATACATATGAAAAGGAAGCACTAGCTATTGTATATTGCGTTAAACATTTTCGACCATACTTATACGGAAGAAAATTCACTTTAGTTACAGACCATAAACCTTTGATGTGGTTTAAAAACGCACAAGACGCAAATATGCAAATACTTCGTTGGAGATTAAAATTAGCAGAATATGATTATGAGGTTGTATACAAAGCGGGAAAAACAAACGTAAACGCAGATGCATTATCGAGAAATCCTGTAAATATCGAAGAAATAGAATGTAAAATTATAAAAAACAAGTAACTTTTAAATCCAGATAACCCTAAAGATGCACGATTAATTGCCAAACTAATAGAAAAATCCGATAGCGAAGAAGAAGAAGAAGAAGATGACGATTTTCATTTATATCTTTCCGATATGGAAGAAAACGAAGAAATAATAGCTGAAAGCGATTTATTAAATAACAATAACGATACTCTTCCATTTACACAAACAGAATTAAACGAACCAGATTATTTATCAATTTTATTTTTATAGGAAATTTATACAACTATTTTGCACAATAGTATTTTTGGTTAAAATGCTTCTATTTAAATAATCATAAAAGAAAATTATTTTATGGTTAAAATGACATTATTTCGTAAAGCAGTTTTTTTAACTTAAAAAAAGTAACACTTTTTGTTTAACACTTTTTCACATGGCGCGTGTACTTGGCGCCTTTTTTTACCTTTTTTTAAAAAGGTTAGTTTTTAGGGATTATATCATTCTTTTTTGTAGTATATGTTATGTCAAATATCTTAAAATAAATAAGCAGGGAACCCGCCACCACCCCCGTCATATTTTATCAATATATAACGGTCCTCTTTGCTTACTATAAATATCCAGATCTTCAAACTTATTAACTCTTATTGTAAGAGTAACATATAATTATAAATCAGTGTGTCATTAAAAATATACATTTATTATTCACAATCTATTCTTCTAAATCCATTGATAAATAATTGTTGCTGCTTATTTAGTTTATCATTAAATATATAAATAAAACGGGAAAAGTGAGTTATATAAATCTATTTTTAATAGTAAGGGTAAAAAATAAAAACCAATTATTGGCGATTTATATAAATATTTTTTCGGTTCATAAATAATGCAGAATATGAAGCATTGTTCATGAAATTATTGATACATTACGAGACATTTTTTATATGGAACTGATTGAAATACAATTATTAAATGATTAAGTATTAATCACAAGTTTGATATTATAAAAATGTATTTTTAATGAAGAATTTTTTATGTAACTGCTTCTTTATTTTCTAATATCTGATACATATTATTTATTAGCCATTTTTTCTAAAAATATTATATAAACATCTTTAGCACCTCTAGGCCACTGTCTTTTCTTAACTTGCGCATCATCAGCTTCGACCCAAATATTAGATACTCCTTCCCTACAAATACTTATATAATGACCTTCATCAATACATGAACCATGATGAAGTATAGCATTCATTGTCTTATATAATTGTCCAGCTAATAATACTTTAGTTGTTGGGACAGCACATAAGTTAAATTTGTGTTCTGCTTTCATTAATTTATCATCCTGTGGTGAAAATAATATTAAATGAATAACAACTATCTCTCTTGTCAATGTTATTTCATTTTTAATTATTATATCATTTCCAGTACAATGTTGACATGATTCATTGTGTGATTGATACCAATGTGAAAACGTAACATTTAATAAATCATTAAGAGTATAACTTTTCTTCTTTAATAAATTATTAACAGGAATCGAAATAATAATATTATTATCAACAATAGTTTTTGTATTACCACAAGTTTTGCATCGCACGGTAGAAGTTACTTGATATTCTATTAAACTTTTTATGCGATCATATTTTTCGCAAAGAGCTATAAGAAAATCAGATGCATTTCGTTTTGCAGTGCTCGAAAAATATTCTCCTAAACATTGTCGTATTACATATGTATTTAAATTACGCATTCCATTTTCATATCGATGCATTAATATACGTAAAACATCTGATATATCGCAATTAAACAATTGTTGTCTAATGACATTTAAATGCAATAAGCATTGCAATACCACATTTGCATAGCATGAAACCTCGTCTGTATTTTGAAAACCATGTATGACCCAAGCAGTACTTTTTCGAATTTTTTCATGTGATTTTTGGACAGAAGTGATTACTTTTGGTAATGCCCATAGGATATCTTTTACTTTGCGATAACGCTCTTTTGAAACGGTAATTATTTCTGCTTTGGGTTTATGTATCCCTTTTAGACGATTATATTCGATGATAGCTTCTTCGCTAGCTATTACCGATGAAGAATCGTAATTAATCAAATGCAAGCCTTTTAGAGATGTTACTCGCGACAATGCAACGTAAATTTGACTACAATTAAATACAGAGTTACTAATGCCCATAATAGCACTTTGCAAAGATGCCATAATTCAGAGATAATGGAAATTGTTTTCTGATAACATACGCTCTATCAATCACCTCAAATTTAACACTTACTCTTTCAATTAAATATTCTAAACCTGACGGTAAAAGAAGTTTAATCTTTTCTACAGAATCAGTAGATATATCTTGTACAATTGAAATCACTGTAGCGATTGTACCATTTACAAGACCCAAACTAGCATCAATATTACGCCGTATCATAACTTTTGCTCCAATTTTAATTGTTATTTGTTTTGAAAGCCCAGCTGTTCTAGAATTATTATCATCATCATTATTTGACAATACTTTTAATACTTTCTTTTTTATATATGGAACACATTCAATTGTATCTTCAGCAATTAATAATATTTCTTTAGAAACAATGCGACTTAACATTGCATCATTGAGAACATCACACATACGACAAGTAGGCAGTAAACAAACGGTATCTGATGGCAGATTGTTAATGAAATTGCATAATTCGTTTAATCTAAATTCGAAAGAATCTCCTTTGAAAGATATTTTTCTATTTTCGAGAATCTTACAATCAGATTTTGTCAATAAACCAATACGAATTCTTGATAATAACTTACGGTAAGAGTCATCTCCTTGCTGGCGCATATTGATTGTCAATTCATCGTAATCAAATAATGTAGTCATCGTAGTCAAATAATGTAGTCCATAAATTAACAGCACTTAAGGAACCAAGATGTTTAGCAATTTTTTCATCGGATAAATGCATAAAGATAGGATCTTCGTGTACAGGAGGTAGTTGAAGCAAGTCTCCGAATAAAAGAATGTGCTTTTGACCAAACCAACCATCATCGCAATCACTAGTATCACTAGTGTCAGACAATCGAAGATGTATATACATTAAAGTCAAATTAGATATCATTGACACCTCATCAATTACAAAAAGAATAACATCAATAACATCTGCTCGTAAAACTTTCAATACATGATCAGATAGTTGTTTATACTTAGGAGTATGACCATGTTCAACGGGTAATTGAAGCAATCTATGAACTGTCAAACCATCTATATTAAATGCTGCTATACCAGTAGGTGCTGCTACAGCAGTATCTTTGTTAAGATTTTGTTTTATCCAGCATTTAATAGTCTTGATTAAGAAACTTTTTCCAGTACCACCTTCTCCGCTAACATATAATCGTAATACTGATTTATCTGAATCTACAGTATTAATAACTCTATCGAATACTCGTTTTTGATCCATATTTAATTTTGCTATCATTTCAGATACATCGATTTCTCGAATTACTTTATCACCAAGATCTTTAAAATCTTGCATCGCTTCACCAGCCTCTATATTTTGAATACCTATCGGATTTTCAGGATCATCCTGAGACTGTTGTTTCTGTAAATCGTCATCTAAGCATTGCTGAACTAACTCTTTAGCAGTTTAAAATGCTTTTTGCAATTCTTCTAACCTTTCATGATATTGCAAGGCTTCTACAAGATGCAGTTTTACTTTGTGAAACGATTCGGCATAAGTGTCGCATTCATTTCTAAGATCCTCCAATTTTCGCCATGGTTGAAACATAAGCAATAACGAAAAGAAATAATTTTCTGGCTGTGTATTAACATCATATCTATAATGATTAATAAGATATCCACGCTGTCGCCGTTTAAGATAATAACCATTATCTATTTTATAATATTCAATATCCTCATTTTTCGGTTTTATTTTCGAGATATCGTACCATTGTGCAAATTCATAAAGAGACATATTTTCTAGTTCGTTTGGTCTATGTGGATAATGATTATCTATTAAAGATGGATAAAATATATCTGTAGATTCAGCATCGAGAGCTTCAATTTCTTTGCGATTTTTTAATTTTCTATATCGTATCTGGTTAACATCTAACCATTTAATAGTCGTGTTTCGATCAGTTCCACATAAAGGAATACCTAACAGTGTATCAGCAGCTTCGAGAGCTCCACATTCTCTATTATTCGTAAATCGTAAAGCGATATTCCAAAGACAACTCGCTAATGATTTGTTTTTATTATTCTTACTATCAAGGATAGTATCAGACAATTCACTTTTTCCCGCTTTATTCATATATTTAGTAATGTACCAGGTAAGCAGTGATGATTTTTCACCAATAAATTGTATATCCATATTACCTTCCCATGCAGTAAGAAGAACAGGATTATAATCATTTATATTAACTTCATTATCTGTTCGAGGAAGATCATAAAGCCTACTTTTATGTTTCAATTGTTTTCTACCTGCTATCGAAGTTGCCACATCTCTCATATTCAAAGTTTCAGTAACGGGACGAGGAAATCCAAAACGACACCGACGAATAACTTTACGTCCTACTTTTTTAGAGCGAAGACAATAATCGTTATGTATATGTCGTTGATGCGTATTAACACGACGGTATCTGATGGCAGCTTGGTAATGAAATTACATAATTCGTTTAATCTAGATTCGAAAGAATCTCCTTTGAAAGATATTTTTCTACTTTCGAGAATCTTACAATCAGATTTTGTCAGTAAACCAATACGAATTCTTGACAGTAACTCACGGTAAGAGTCATCTCCTTGCTGGCGCATATTGATTATCAATTCATCATAGTCAAATAATGTAGTCCATAAATTAACAGCACTTAAGGAACCAAGATGTTTAGCAATTTTTTCATCGGATAAATGCATAAAGATAGGATCTTCGTGTACAGGAGGTAGTTGAAGCAAGTCTCCGAATAAAAGAATGTGCTTTTGACCAAACCAACCATCATCGCAATCACTAGTGTCAAATATTTCAGACAATCGAAGATGTATATACATTAAAATTGAATTAGATATCATCGACACTTCATCAATCACAAAAAGAATAACATCTTTAAGATCTGCTCGTAAAACTTTTAATACATGATCAGATAGTTGTTTATATTTAGGAGTATGATGTTCAACAGGTAATTGAAGCAATCTATGAACTGTCAAACCATCTATATTAAATGCTGCTATACCAGTAGGTGCTGCTACAGCTGTATCTTTGTTAAGATTTTGTTTTATCCAGCATTTAACAGTTTTGATTAAAAAACTTTTTCCAGTACCACCT